AATGCAGATTGGGAAGCAACAAAACATGAAAAAGGGCAAGGGGGTGAATATATTTGCAGGTTATTTTAATTTTTTGGTTAATTCCTGAGAAACAGAATTAGTCGAGTGTTTTTTGCATGCAGAAATCTAAGAAAGATGAATCATCATATACAGTAAATGATACATCATATGCTCATTTAAACCATTAGTACAGATGTACACAATTATTCATTCAATCATTTTGACCTATCCCCTTGGGGAGCAGTGGGCTGCCAATGTGTGGTGCCCGAGGAGCAGTGAGGGATTAAGGGTTTTGCTCAGAAAACCAGAGTGGAGGCTGTGGGGATCGAACCGGATACTTCCAACCTTCTCAGATCACAAGCGCATTGCTTTGACCACTAGACGATCACCCCAACCCCCCATATATTATTATTGTATTTCTATTTTTATTGTATTAATGTTTCCAAAGACATTTAGTATTTGTAACAAAAAACATGCCTTACAGTGGCATTATGTTTACTGTTCATGACAAGGTTAACACTTGCCATCTTTCCATTTACACCCGCTCGAACTTGAAAAGTAAATGCATGTCAGGTCATTTTGCAAATGTGAAAGTTTGTTGGTGATGGGCAAACATCAGGGTGCCAAAAATGAATTTCAATTATTTCAGAGTAGAAAATGTGAAGTCTTACTCAGTAGTCCACCCACTGAGATTTGGCCTTGTAGTCTGTAATGAGGAGAGTTATTGGGCTCTGATTGGAGCAACCCACTGTTTCAATGGAGTAATCACAACTGTGTTGATATTACTCGACCAATTCCCCCACTGTGCAGAGTGGAAACCCTGCTGAGACTGTTTGAATTCAAATTAACCAAATCATTTAGTAATATTGCCAGCCGTAGTGTGGATTTTAACCAGCAACACTAGAGACACAGCTTAATCCTTTTATCCCATGCTCTAGATGTTTGATTTCATACCTTATTATTTGCATTTGTTAAATTTAACAACTTTTAATATATGGCTTCTAACATAAGACTTAATGTAATTTTAAAGTGTAATTTAAAAAAATAAGCCTGAGTAATATAAATATTTATGTCATTTAATAAAAATAATTAGCTTTTCTAAGAAAAAATAGTGACTATCAACTTAAAACAACTTTACAGTTTTTTTATTTCAGTTGTATCCACATAAATTTCATCACATTATGACAGTCATTCAGCATAATTTGAGGTCTTTCTCTATTCTTGACACTGCTTGCTGGTGTTAACAACAACAAAAGGTTTAACATGCTTGAAAAATTAAAGCAGGTTCTCACTAAAGATATGAAGAAACAAATGTTTCTTCTTTTTTAAGCATGTACATGAAGAGGAATCTAGTGTAAACAAGTTTGAACCCTGTTTCATCCAGACCAATATTAGTCACCCCGAGAAATATCGGAGGAAAGCTGAAATAAATAAATAAAAGGAAATGGGAAAAGCATGACCTCAATATTAAACCATCAAGTCATTATACTTGCATCTTCCTTTATGTGTTTTTTTTGTTCCTCCTTTGCCAAAATGCACCCCAGTCTCTGATTTTCAGACAATTAAAAAATGTGTGAGCCATTATGTGAACAAAGAAGGACTCTAAAGGGTGAGAAACATGTTGTCATCACATGATGCCTTTTATAAATTCTTCTTTTTGAATAACTGCAATGGTGAACAACTAAAATAAAATCAATAAATTTGTTATAATTGATATTTTTTGCAAAATATACTCACAACGATTGTAACTAATGCATTATTTGACTATTTGTAGATGAACTGTATGCAGGTAATTCTCAGCATCTTTCTTCACTAGAGGGCAGCAAAACTCAGCTGCTTTGCGATCTAGATACTATAAGTTCTGTTTACTTAGTTTTCTTAACATATTATTTCTACGAGTATAACAAATATACCAAGTACTAATATTATGAACACGGTATTTGCTATATACTCTATTTCAGACAGACAAATTTGTCAAATTGTTTGTCTAAAATAGTCTGAAATAACTTCCTATTCATTCATTCACTATACATTCAGCTTCAAAATAAAAAAAACAATATCAGATATTTCAGAAGCATAGCATGAGCCCAGATGCATAGCATTTCCATCATTGTTCTTGAAATTCAAAAACCACAGAAAATGAGTCATAAAAGGCATTTTTAGATCCACTGAACCTCAAATATATATATATATATATATATATATATATATATATATATATATATATATATATATATATATATATATATATATATATATATATATATATATATATACATATATATATATATATATGCTCATCGTTTGTGCAAATACACTGAACCTTTATTTTCCATCTTTTCAAAAAGAATGATGAAGACATTTCGGTCTTCAAACTTGCCATATTCTATTTTTTTCTCCCTGGATTCTGGCAGCAGTGGAGTTAGTGTTCATTATCTGTCCTTACAGCTTTTACTTCAGCACAGCAATTACATCCTCAGCTGCACTGATTAATCCAACATGGAGACATTCCACAAAATGGTTTTGAAAAGACATTTCCAGACACTTACCAGGGAGTAGCTGTGGCACAGCTTGTTTATGCAGATAGACCACAGCCAGTCAAATGGCAATAAGATGTTTTCAATGGCTGCTTAAGGGTTCTCTTATCCTCTTGTGTATGCTGTGCAGCAAACAATAGAATTAAAATCTTTAATATATTTCGTTGTTTTCCTGACATTAAATGAAGGTGCCTGATGTCATGTTTGGATAGTCTACATTTCTCTATTATTCCCTATATTTCCTTTGTGGCCATTTGTAAATATGCCTCCCCAGTTCTCAGCTTAACTGTTTAACCTTCAATTCCCTACTATAGCAATCACGTAATCAATCACTGTCCTACTGCTTGACATAGCGGACAAAAGAAGTGTGTGAGTGAGAAAAACCTTTTGCCCTGTCTGAACAAGCAAAGGGAATGTCGACTTTTGAGGGCTAGCACAGGCAGAAAACACAGGACCAGTAAATATTCAATTTAAGGATTCCCAGATAAGGCGAGTTGAAAAATTGAGGCGGTACCCATTCTTCTAGATAAGAGAAGACGGAGCCATCTGGAGGCTGGGAGATAGCGAACTCCCACGCCATCCCAAAGACCTCACTCTCATCTGCTGCAGAGGCAGAGAGAGGAGAAATGGAGTGCCAACACTTTCTTTATGTTAACTTCACAACAAATGTATTCACATTCAGAGCACGCAGTTAGTTATTGACTTTGTTCAGCAAAATTTTATCAGTGTGTCCAACATAAAATAATTTTCTTTTATATCATTCTGATTAAAAAAAAAAGTTGAAAAAAAAGATTTATAAATCTGCTTTATAATTTGGTGCCACTTGAAGCCTGACATTATTTTACTGGAATTACACTCTTTGAGATAAACAAAAATAATGAAAGTAGCTGTCGTCTGATCTCCAATTGCAATTTTAGAAGAATTTTATTCAGAGTATTGATGCCATGCGACATGAATGTTATCTCAAGGCATTTTATAAACAGTGTGATTCTTGAACAACTATAAAATTAGGTTTAATTCCAACTAAGGTTTTATTCACATTCATTCCATTTTTCTTGAATATTTCTGTTTGAAAGTCAAAGCACATGACTTTTTACGTCTGTGTTGCCTTTGTTTTACACTCTAAATTGACCTTTAAAAACAAAAAGACACCGTGTCTGTGAATAACCTTGTCCACAATCCTATAATGCACCTATGTGACTCCTCCAACAACCTATTTCGCGGAAGCCACATTGGATTTAGATCTGGGATAATGTTTTGTCAGTATGTTTTATCTGTCCTCTCACTCAGGTAACGCTGTGCCGTTATCCCTAATTACCCGTCTGCATATCACACTTGGCCCTGAATCCTTAATGCATGATAACAAATGCAGGTTGATTTGAAATTTACTTCTAGGGATTATCTTTTGTATTTTTTTCTATCCCAGGCTGCAAACCAAGAGGCCCATTGGCTCCAGGGTGAAAGCTGTTAACTCTGTTATAAAGGCGACCTGAAATGATAACCTTCCGGCAGTCTTGAGGACACACAGTTTGCTACATGTAAGCTGTTTTGCAGCCGCAGCATTTCTTATTCAACCTTGGTTGTTCTGCTCTGCTCTGATTCATTTAATGGGAATTTTGTGGGAGGGAATCTTGTGATCAAGATCTTTTATTTCTGTGTAAAATAAATTTAACTGCGTTCTATAATTTAACTTAAATAATATTGCACTTCGCAAACCTTTTACAGTTATCCATGGCGTGTTTCCAGAATATAATTAGGTACAAATATTGTACAGGAAAAAAAAATATATATATATATGTATATATATATATATTTATATATTTAAATAAGCTTTTGTGCTCGGTTGTTATTCATTTACCCTATTTAAATTTAAACTCGTGCAAGACTTCATTTCTAAGAGTGATAAATTTTAAATGGTGCAAAAGCCGAAAGACAAATAAGAAAATGACGTGAAAAGTCAGCAGCCACTCCTCTTTCTTCTGTCTTTGCAGCTGCCTTGCACTGTTTAAAATGTGACACGGTGTACATCTGAGTTTAATGTGTGATAGGCAGAAGATCATTAAGAGAGGAAAAATGAAGACAAAAGATATGCAGCTATATGTGCATGCCTGCAGGGTGAAATGAAAAGGAGTGTACCTTATTGCCTTGGTTTTATATTTTGCAGCAACAGTTCAGTGTAAAGCTCTGTCAAGCCTAGTTTAAATCCTTTTTCTCCTCTATGCTGTGTGATGTTATATAGTTATCTTAATGATAATCTCTGCCTGTATTTCTCCCCCTGGCATTTCTGTCAGGCTGGGTTGGTTTACTCCTTATCAACAGCTTTGTCATTAAATCAGCTTTTCTACAGACAAATTTCACTGCTGGTACTCTTATCGAAATATCAGCACACTGTGATTTTTTTGTTCCATTAGAGCTTTGCATAGTGATGTATGGGTAAAAAGATAAAGCACAAAAGAAACTTAGTTCAGAAATAAAAATTTTATTTTCACGTGAAGATTGATAGTTAGACAAACTAAACTGGTACATATTGCATTTTTATACCATCAATAATTTGAGTTGTTCTTATTTATATAAAATCATTTATCTGTTTATCTGAACAGCTTAATTTAAGGCTATTTATTGACAGAATTTATTTTATACTGATGAATAGTTTTATCCCCAATTCATATATAGCTGACTTGTGCAATCAATGGCTTCATTTAGATGCAGTTGCTGTGAAGTATGATTTCAATATGTTGGTCATCAAACAACACAAGCACACATATTATGACAGTTGTGATGTCAAGGGCCATAAATCTGTACTGTAAGTGCAGAAGCAAGCTTTTCAGCCTCAGTCAAACTGACCTCCTGAAGCTTGAATTGGGATTCAGTTCTAATAAGAAAGCCCTGTTCTGACTGAGTGAACGTTCTGATTGTCTCAGCATTGTGCTAGAGTGGAGTGCAGCGCCAAATGAACTTTGCTGATTCAATCTTCTTCACTGTGACAGGGATTCAGATAGTCAGTTAGGTGGAAGAACTGAGTCTCCTTGCTCCAAACATGGCTTCTTACAGCGCGGGAAGCTGCTGTGTGGCAGCGGTCCAAAAGGTCTCTTGAATGTTGTTTGTGTTGCAGGATCAGTCCCTCCTCTGTCTTCCCACAATGAGCTAAAAGCCTCTGGTGGCTGATAGCCTGGCTCCTGAGGATCCAGAGGATCCTTAGAAAGAAGGATGCTGATCGAAGGTACAGTCCTGTGCACCGTCATCTCAGATGCAGCCCCCTGGTTGCTCTCCCAAACTTCTTTCACCACTTTGTACCTGAGCTTAGTCATTTGATGCAGACAGCCCACTTTTCGTTTCATAATCTCAGCACAGGTGATGGTCTTTGTGACGGCGCGACCTGACCCAGTGAATACAACCTGCCTGAGCCCACTGACGGTCCCACCTCCCGCACTTCCAGTCTTTTCTCCTTGCATCCGAGCCATAGCAAATCCCATTAGGTTGCGGATCTTGCTACCCTCTTTGACACGCATCTCCAGCACCCCAGAAGCCAGACCTGGAAAGGGACAGGGGCTGTCCTCCTCAGTACGGCAAACTTTTTTGAAACCTTCCTGCCCTAGTTTAACAGCCGCTGGAGAGGGTGGCAACAGTGGAGGTTTTATTGTGTCAGAAAGACTGTTGTTAAACGCAGGTTGCATTATAGTGTTTGTATAACTTTGACCCTCATAAAAAGGGCCAGTCCCTTGGTTTACTCCATTAGCAGTCTGGTTTGTTCTCTTTACCTCCAGTCCAGGTTGTTGTGTGACATTGCTGTTAGGCAGACAGTGGTTATGGCCACTGAACACTCCACATCCTGTAAACATTTCTCCTCTCCCCAGTGCATCAATATATAGTTAGTCCAAATACAGGCTTATCCATTATAGAACTAAGCAAAAACATAATTTTCTTAAGCACTTGGCAGTTCTGTCTGTCTCCAGTCAACAGCTGTAGTTTTAAGATTGTGTATAAGAAATATTACTCACTCCCCAAGAGCTCTATCAACAAAGATTTTAATGTTCCTTCTCAGAGAAAGTTGAAGAGATAAGATTAATTCCTGGCTGATGAATTAAAAGCACTGTTGGGACCTTTCAAGATGTTCTTTAAAGAGCTTCTCATTTTCAAACCACCATCGCCTATTTGGAACGTGTTCCAGATTCCTAGGAAAAGAAAAAAAATCTGCAATTAGCCTTTCCTTCTGTTGCATATATTTTTATCAATTCTATAATAATTTCTGCACAAGCAACTGTGCGCTTCAAGTCTCCTTTACCAAAACTTTTTTTGAAGAGAAACTGAAAGCTCATATCGGGACTCCACCTTTTTCTTTTGCGGTCCAATCCAGCGTTGACGACTCTGACCTGCTGTTCATCTTCTCTTCATTTCTGAAGTGACCTCTTGGTTTGTTTATTTTATTTTTATTTCCACCTCTTCTTCTGGACTTTTGAATTAGGCTCCCCTTGCTCAAGTTGCTATGTCTTTCCTTTCCACATGCCCAGTTTTGGGATCCGTTGAAGCTGTGACCAGGGGTGCATAGAAGTCTGCAGCCCGGGTGTTGTCCCTAGAGATGTATCTTGTCTTCAGTGGTGCTCTAGGAACTCTGCTCTGTTCCCTACAAAGAGACATAAGGGACAGGAGCTGCCTAACAAATGCTCACAGGAGGAGTGTCTGTGTGGCTGAGGGGAAGCAAGAGGGAATGGGGAGACAGCCCTCTTAAAGGCACAGGTCTTTTCATCTTTTAGACGAACACCCTCCCTTCCTTGACTAAAGCCTGCCATCTGAGGGAGGAAAAAAAGGGTAGGGCTACCGGGTCCCTTTAAAATGTGGAATGCAGATCCCCAGCAACTTTGTCAATCTCTTTAGAGGACGTTCCAGTGTTTAATGTACATGACTGATTAAACCTGAGTTCTGAAATAGAGAGTCAGTCAAGCTTTAAAAATGCATTTTCAGCTGCGAAACAATGAATTAAATTAGCTGTGTTATAATTGAAAACATCCTTCAAAGGGCTGCTGAAAGTCAGCAGCATTAAATTGCACTGTACTTAGCCTTTCTCCTATTCGATGTTTGCAGCAATTTCAATTTACATAATGCAACATTAATAGCTTCATTGTTGGGGCAATCAAGTGGCACGGTAAGTATGTCTGTCTCTTAACGCATGGACTGTTATACTGTCACAAGCCAGGGAGCCCTTGTGATCAAGGACACAAGGGCCACAAAATGCATGGCAGCATGACTCCCATGTTCAAGGTGCTGTAATGGTAATTGTCTTCATTAGCTTGCTTTATGGGTGTGAGTGAAAAGTTAGGGCTGACAGGTGAGGTAATAAGTATCGTGACTTTCTGTCACCAGAGGAGGGCGCTGGCTCGCAACCCACTGCTCCAAGCCCAAACCCCAACAGCTGTGGCATTGCCCTGTTTAGCCCATAGCACAGTCTCCTGGTCGACAGGTGGATTTGTTTTTGTGTGTGACTGACAGAAGAAAGAATGGGTAAAGACAGCCCACTGAGGCTGAACCTATAAGGTAGAGAGAGAGAAACCGACAAGTCCTAAGTACTCTCTGCTATGTACATCTTCTGGTGTGCAGTAGTGCACGCACAGTCTAAACTCACTGTGACTTTCTCGGTCCATAAAATGAGCCTAATTCACAGTGGCATGTGTATTATATTAGATCCCTATGGTAATCAAGGAAAAAAATGAGAAACCCCCCCCAAGTCCCATGGTTAAAGTGGAAACCTCTTTTATTAACTGTGCCCTAGTTTAACCTGAGGATGAGTGGATTTGTTAAATCTGTCTGAATGATTGACTATTTTTTTTGTTTTTGTTAATTCATTTATGTAAGACAGTAGTGCTATTCATCTCAGAAAGAAAAAAAAATCCAGGCACTGCATGAGACAGGGTAACAAATTTCTGTCTTTTTCTCGCCTCTTTGTAAGCTAAAAGGAAAAAGGGAAAAAGAAGACAAGGGGAGGAGGGAGTGTCTGTCGCACTCACCACAAAAGTGATCATTCTGTTGTTTGGGAGAAATTACCCTCATCAGTCATACAGAGATGCACAGCTGCCTAAGGGGATCTGGTAATGTTACTGCATAATAAACTGTGTTTATGTGTGCACACATATGTGTATGTTCAGAATGACAAAAAGGAGGCAAAAAAAAAAAAACAGCAAAAGAGGGCAGGGGGTAAAAGATATGTAATTTAACCATAAAAGGGTTAAAAACTTATGCCATCTAATTATCCCTATTTTTCCTGTTCTATTAGGTTTATGCCTCATTTCTCAAATTAGGTTTAGAAACCTGTTTGCTGCTGGTAATGTGACGAATCACATGATGCTTTCTAGTGTAGAAAACACGCTTTCTTATTATCCAATGAAACGAGTGTGAAACTCTTCAAAGCTGAAATAAAACCATCAGGAACATGTGAAAGTGCTGTGTATCGACCTTTGCAAGCATAGCCTTTTTCCTTTAAGTGCCTTCGTTTAATGATGGCTTTAGGTGGTGCTCACGCTTGGTCACCCAAGTTTTTACACCTCCTCCTCATATCTGGCCTCTGCCCCTGTAGCTCTCTAAGCACTTACTCTTCACTTTAACTGACCTTGGATAGCATCTGTGTCCATCTCTGAATTCTTTTCAGCATGCTTACACCACCATCTTCACTGTCTTTACCATTCATCAAACACCTTTAGCTTTTCCACCATCGCCCCTTGGGGATTTAAGTAAAGATAACCATTTGTCCACAAAAGCTTTGACAAATAGGACTGGCTTTTTTCTTGCCAGCCTCCGGACTTTGTACTTCAGGTGTCTAAAATAGTTGATGTTGTAAATTATTAGGCTTCAAACTGATTGTAGCATCACTGCAGAGTTGAGTTTTAGAGCAGCTTGATGTGCTGCACATAACCACGTTGTCTCACTGTGACAGCCGGTCTCTCACTTTAGGTTAACTGCAACTGTTTTCACGGTCATCAACCAATGGTGGCCTGGAGACTGTCATTTCACTCTGTATGGAGCTTGCCTGCAGCTCGGTTCTGCCCCACAAACTCACAGCCGGCCCTTTCACACAAACAATGATGCATATGCACACCCTCACACAAAGGCAAGTGTACGCACTCCCATGCTCTCACACAAACTATATGCTCAGCATAAGGCAAGCTGTTGGAGCAATTACAGAAACATGACAGAACACGATGATGCAGGCCCCACCATCAGAGAGGAAATAGAGTGAGCAGAGGAAAAATGATGACGGCATTAATAACAGCGAAGCTCCGAGACTTGTGGGAAAGAGGGGGTGGATGACCCTCTCTTTGATTTCCCTGTGACAGCACTTTGAGGTTCGAATGGTTATGTTTTTACTAGATTGCTAAAGTTTGAATAGGCATATTTTCATGTCAAAAAGCAGGACCAAATTACAACACGACGACTAACAGACAACAAGCTATAAAGTGATGTTTTACTGTCTCTCTGACTGCTGTTATTTTGGAAAATGACCACTAAGATGCCCTTACCTCCGTTTTAAGCCAGTCACAAGTCTCCATCATTTGTACCCCAGCTGCTTCCTTATACAGTCAGTGCTGCAATGCAGATGTGCTGCACAAAGGGCCAAGAAACTTAAACTGAAGATGTTTTAGAGAAAAAAGAAATGTATACTGTATATATATATATATATATATATATATACACAATTATAAATGAATAGTACCACCTAACATAGATCCAGTGCAGCAAAAAGGGAGAAAAAAATAACACAAGGATTGGAACTTAAATGTCAAAAAAAATTTCAAAGCTGCTCCTTACTCAAGCAAATGTTTGAATTTCTTTTCTAAGGGTCACTCTTATATTAAAGGGGGGATTTCGGCCTTACCATTTAATTGAAATAGTTGGAGTTTAATCACATTGCCTCATGCTTCTAGTTGTGCATGATTCACATTTGTTTTGATAGATGGTACCATCTTTAATTTCAGTTGGCAGTGGCATTTAAAAACAGCATGCATTTATTTATTCTGTTTTATCTGGCCTTGGGGTTGAAGTTAATGGACTTGATAGCATTTATTTTAGATAAATTACTTTAAGAATTAATTATCCATGTCACAATAAATAGAAAAAGCTAATGAATTGCCAAGAGGCTGTCCTTAATGTTCCAGATTTAAAACTAATTTTTGTCTATTTATATTTGACCCGTTAGACATACAACAATAAGAATAGAAAGGTTGCCTTGATAAGGAGTTGACCAAGAAGGGTTTCATAGTAACAACAGCTGCTACACTATGGAAACATTACATGTTGCATTATTTTTAACGCTGTTTTCTTTTTGTCTAAAGGTTTAGTAAACTTTCAATTTATTTTTGGTTGTCCTAAACAAAACACAAAACCAATAAAAAAAGCAAAAAAAACAAAACATATTTGTAAAGAGTAGGTTTGAATGCTGCTGGTTCTATTACGTGAATAATTACTCTGTTAAAATACAAATCAAGAAAAGCTCTTTGAATTAATCCATGACTGGTAAACCTTTTTCTGATGATGTGTGCATATATTTCAAAGTTTTAAAGTACAGTGAAAGAGAAGGGGAAATTTCTATCCCTGCTCCCCTACCACGACACCCAGATTTGTAGAGGTTTAAAAATACGTTGATCTGACAAATTATGTTGATAAAAAAATGAACATTTTGATCAACGTAGTAATCGTAAGTATGCACTTTTTCTAGGGTTATCGTTTCAGAATATGAACTTTTTTTTTAAGCATTCAGTCACAGAGAATGTTAGGGACCCAGCCGTCAAATATTTTAATAACTGAGTCATCGATCAAATGATTATCCATATAATGGTTGTAGCATGTAGTTGGTTTAACAGATGTGTGTGCCTTCACCTCTTTCATTTCTTCACTTCATACTTTGGACATTGTGCTGACATAAGGCTTTGAATTTAAAGAAATAACAGCATACCCCCACAACCCTGACCTCTCTGAACACTTTTTAGCAACCTTCCCCCCAAAAAGGTTTCACTTTAGCAGATCGTTATCGGATAATGCAGTCAAAAATTTTCAAGAATTTCTTGCACTTTTAATCTTCTCTGTATCACTTAACAATAATATAGAGGACAAACATTTAATTAAAAAATCTTTTTTGTTAACTAGTAAAAACTTTCAAGATAAAAAGCTGGCTCCCTGGTTTAATGCAGAGCTGTGCACATTGAAGCTAAATACTAGCAAACTGGATAAATAAAAAATGGTGCTCTATATGCATACAGGAATCCTACCTAGTCTGGAGAAACTGTTTAATGCTTTATACAATAAAACTGAAACAGCTCTGGTGAAAGTCATTAAAGATATTCTTGTGGCCTCAGAAAATGAACTTGTATGTGTACTTGTCTTATTAGATCATAGTGCTGCATTTTATACAGTCTATCATAATGTTCTTCTGGAAAGCTTTGAACATTTTGTTGGAATTTGGGAGAACAGCACTAGGCTAGTTGAAATCTTATTTATCTGAATTATTTATGTTTTTTTTCAGGTTGATGAGTGCCACAGGGATCAATGCTAGGGCCAATTCTCTTTACTATATAGATGCTCCAAAGGTAGAAATATTAGACACGACGGTATAACTTCTACTGTTATGCTGATGACACTCAAATATATCTATCTCCAGATGAAATTAACCCATGACATAAACTACATGTTTTTTGAAAACATAAACACCTGGATAACTCTTAAATTT